AAAATGGAAGGGAGCTTTGAAGGTTTTGAGGGTACTGGCAGAGGGGGTGGAGGGTTAGTTGGGTGGTTCAGGGCAGAGTCATGTCTCTTGGTCTGCCACCGGCTTTGTGCGGCCCATTGGAAAAAAATCATCATCAAACTCTCATTAATTCTCCCCCAACGTTGATCTGACAAGCCAGATAGAAGGGATGTGTGGGGACGAGGGGGCTGCCTTTACCCCGTAAACCAAAACCTGATGCCGATTCCCATGAGGCCGCTCTCCCAGACCAGTGGCGTGGTACTGAGTGAAGGGGCCGACAAAACTTGTGAAAAGCCAATGGGCTGGGGGGGGGTGAGCAGCACAATGAGTTGTAGAGGTTTCTGAGGGCCATTGGACCTTTCTGTGCCTTTGGACGGGAACCCGTAAACAAGCGGCTTCGCCATTCTGAAAAACGGAACATTTGACACGCAGGGACAAAACAAGCCGGGGCCAGGAGAAATCCCTTTCACCTTGTGATGCTGCGTGCCTTTCTTGCCTCTCACGCAAATTACACGCCTGCCATCTTTATTTCTGACCCCCGCAAACGCTGAGCCAGCGACTGCTTACCATCACGCTCTTGTTGCCGCGTCTCAGTCCGAGACTCTGTCAATTTTGCGAACTTCCCGCTCGTCCTTTTACAGGAGAGCGACCTGCAGCAAAGGCATGGTTCACGTGACGCGTGTCAGAGCGCATCTCATCAAGATTCAAGAACAGGGACCTCTAGGCTTTCACCTAACTGCCACATACCAGCATAAAGCCCTGTTAGTGACTACGCTAAGAAACCTCTCGAGGGATAAGGAAGGACAAGCTGTCAAGAACTTTATGCTCCCCAAAACTGAACAGGAATCAACTCATGATGCTCGCTCCCTTTGAGTGTTCCATCGCCCGCTTGTGGTGCCGTACAGGTCAAAGAGGCACAGCAGACACGGGAAAGGCCAATCTCAGCTTAACAGAGCCTCTTGTGGGCTCAAGATAAAACTGCAGTGGTATGATGACTGATAACCTTTAATTAAGAAAAGAAAGTTATTAGAAAGCATTCTAGTATATCACTGAAAGTTCATCTATATGTACTCAATCTTAAACGAAGAGATTATGAATTGCAGTAACACTTCACAACTAAGTCCAATTCCTTAGTTGATGCTCTGGATATAATTAACAGTATCATTAACAATAGTTCAATTAAACCCTACTAAGACTGAAGTCATGCTTATTGAAGCAATAGACCCCTTTAAAGGGTACAAGAGCTTGTCACTTGGCCAGTACCCTCAAAGGGACATCTTTGCACATATTCATAATTAATGGGGTACAAATTTGTCCTTTAAAGGGTACTGTCCCAGTGGCAAGCTGTTGCACCACTAAAGATACAATTATTGCACATTTTTTCCTGACATTGCTACCATCAGGATGCTTGTCCGCACCTTTAACAGTACACGTGTCATTCTTTCTTTTAAAACAGTTTCCATACATTTAAAACGCAGCAACCAGAACACCTGCACTTTACGGTTTACCCATATTTAACATTATTTAGGTCTGCTTGTGATCAAACATATTACACATTTTTTGGGCCTGATTATGATCAAGCTTCATAAAAAGATCCTTATCGTTTCTTGACTTCATTGTGTCTTCACATCCTCCTCCCTCCCCATAGCACAGACACATCCAAACTGTTGATAGATTTAACCACATACATATCATCTGTGCATTCAAGTGGTTACATCTTTAAGAAGTTATTTTAGTTCTGTTATTATTTATTTATTATTTAATTATTTCCTAAGACCAAACCTTGAAACTTCCAGAAACCGTAAACACAGTGAACTCATTCACCAAGACTGTGTATGGGGGAGGGGGTTTTCTGTTTACTTGAGTGGTATTTTGATTAAAGCTCAGTTTTGTGGTTTGAGGCATACAGATACATGGGGGGGGGGGCATCCAAATCAACAGGACGTGGTCTCTAAAAATGAAAGCAATCACTGATATGGCACTTATCAGGCTGCTTGGTAAACCAAAGCAAACCACACCAAAAAGGTGGCATACGGTGTGACTGACATGACCGTTTTATGGCGGGGGTCGTTTCTCTCTCTCTGCCTGTGACGTACGTGCAATAGCGTGTGCTGGCGGAGGATCATGGGAAATCCATGTTTTAAAACTAGCTTTAGCTATTCATGCAAAGTCGTGAGGAGAGATGATCCAAGCGAAAAATCTCAGGTGCTAGCCAAAAATGCATACTCTTCTCTTCTCACCTTTTTCTCTAACTTTCACCTCAATCTCTATAAAGTGGTGTCAAATAAAAAGTTGGTTACAGCATTGTGCCGTAAATTTGTAATTGGGCCACAACAGAATGAAGCACAATCATGCAATCAGGTTTAAGGAGGCTTATGAATGGTCATTCAGCTTTTGCTCCAGGTCAAACTTACTCTCGCACTCTTTGACATCCACGTTGAACTGCTGCAGGGCTCCCATAGACACTTGCCTGACATCAGCCTCCAACAGCAGCTGCAGCAGAGAGGTTGAAAGGTGTTTACAGGCTGACATACATGCCGTCTGAGCCACCTTCCCCTAGAGAGAAAGAAGGAAAGGGAGATGTGAGGTTCACATATGGGGTATCTTTCACATACAGTATGACCCTCTCCAGCAGGTGGTAAAACTATGGACATTTATTTGAATTAAGTTTGCATGTTTCTCCCCTGATTTTTATCCCTGTCAAACTGAATCTCATGTGATACTCCTTTCTTTCAATCGATTGAGTCTGCTACATTCTGGTCTCTAATGTAGTCTCCATGAGCACACACACACACACACAAGAAACACTACTGATATTGTATTTACAACCAAACAAGTCCATGCCTACATGCAATCTCACAAACATAAAAAGTGGAGCTTAGCAGCACTCTGGTGGACATTTAAGCCGGGAGAACCGCAATGCTGTTTAAACATCAACACACGTTCACCATCACACATGCAGATACACACACAATTCCAGCTCCAAGCCGAAAACCTCAAATATGCCCTTGTCTGCCGTCCAGAGCCTTCCTGACAATCAGGCTAATACTTCAGGGGAGATCCAAAGCTATTAATATGACACTAAACCTGAAAGAAAACAGCAGACTGGAGGGCCAAGAGTCTATGTGGGATTTTTATCTGATGGGGTCAAAAAATAAAAACAAAACACCATTATACAAGAGGACTTCCTGCACATTGGAAATACTTGGGCAATAAATCTAGTGAAATGAGGGAGGAATACACAGTAAATCCATAGGAGAGAGAGAGGGAAAGATCTTTTTATCCCTTTTTTGCCCATGTGAGATGGGCAGAGAATGGGAGGAAAAACAGAAATCAAGACAATGCCCTCTTTGCTTTGAAGTCATCTCATCCTTTCCTCTTCTTCCTCTGTCTCTCTCCATCTGCCATGGAAATTCCACTGTAGTCATTTCTTAAATGAAAGCCACTAGCATTAACTAATCAGTGCTCAGGTTAAATAAAATCAAATAAAACAAGCACAAATAAGGTAATAATAAAATTAAGACAAAATATAATAATAAATGTATAAATATTTTAATAAAATATAATAAAATTCAAATAAAAAAGTAGGGTAAACGTACCTATTAAGCTCACCAAAATCTACATTGAGACATTTTTAGTGCACAAGATATTGGTTTCAGTACAAAAAGTTATGTTAAAATAAAAGATTAATCTCTCACACAAAAATATTTAATTTTATTTTAAATGACAAAAGCATTTCAATTAAGATATACATCATTAACTGCAAAAAGTCCAGCTGTGCTTAATGGGTACATGTTTGTACCCTTTAAGCACACCCAGTAAGCTCACATCATGTTTTATTAACAATTCTTGTTTATTTTAAACAACCTTTTTAAAGAATACTTGAATTTTTTTTTTAATGTACAAAGTCAATCACACACAAAAAACAGAACACAAAAATCAAGCAACAAGGCATTAAATTTGATCAGTTATATATTCATAGTGAAGTGTCATTTAAGCACATTGCAACATCTATACTAGGACTAGTCTGCGTTCAGCTAAGTAACACATATTCAAAAATCAAATAACAAAACAAACCAATAAAT